GAAGAAAACAAAGAAAAATAATTTTAATAGATTTATGGAGAATATAAAGCATCTCCAAACATACCAGTTATATATCTCTGTATAAAGAGTTTTAAATATTGCAAATGTGCAATTGTAAATTTAATCAGGTTTTTTTCTTTAAAAAATGGTATGTATTGTTTTAATGTAAACAGCCTCAAGTTACCTTTGGCTAGATGGGTGACATATGTTTAATAACTTTAATAATTTAGAGATAACACTAAGCCTCACTGAAATTTAATGAATTCACTTCTTCATAACAATGCTTTCATTCATTATTGTCTAAACTCACATCACAGAATTTAATGTAAATGATTGGACCTAAAGCTGAGATTGTTGCAGCCCAATTAATTTTGCATTACTTTAATGTAACTACTACATAACTAACATGTAGACTGAGCTCCATACATATCCATTCAACTAAGCAGAATGAATTTAAATATTACCAATTAACTCACCTCATTCCATACGTGCCAGAAATATTTCAACAACATTCAGTTGCTCATTTAACTGTTTATTAAAAGTACACATGCTCTTCCACCCAAAACCATGCTTAGATAACAAAAGAAAAATTCCTCAGAATTTTAAGCATACAGGTTTAAAATGTAATTGAATTCATAGAATTAAAATATTAAAAATTAATTCAAAGAAACTGTTCCCAATCATGTAAAAGCTGTTTTAACAGCCAAGTAAGTTGTGTGTCCCATCTACCGTAAAAAAACTGAATAAAAATGTATTTGCTTATCACATATAATTAGAAAAGTGATGGATTCCAGCCTTACTGAAACATTGTTAAAAGACACTGATCAATATCTAATTATCATAACTGACCTATGAAAGCCATATTTCAAAAGCTGTTGCGAGATCTCAGGACATGTGTTCTGTGCATCTATTAAAACCAGAAATTAAAACCAGAAATGCCTTTACTATTTTTAACAATAGATGATCATTTGTAAACAACATAATACAGAATTATAACACTTTCAAAATTTCAATGTTCTTGTCCTTAATCCAGAACAGAAATTAAATTATTGATATTGTGATAAATATAAAAAGACTTATTTCTTGAAACATGGCAGACAACAATCTTTTAACTCAGTGGTTGCAAATTGTTTTAGTCCATCCTACCGCAGAATGCAAAAATATTGTGTCCCCAAATTTCCAGCGGCCCCAACTTCCAATATAAATTAGAAGCTTTCTGACTGCATTGTCACATACTTCCCACAAGAAGATAAGCTTTGCTCCATTCCTTTCAATATTGTATAGAACAGAACAGGAGACATACTTAGAGGGCTCCATTGTTGAGGTAGCTATTCTTATTCAAATTGTAACTTACATAAAAATTCAGGCATTATACATAGACTAAAAAATTTCAGAAAGAAGAGAATATCCCAGTTAAAAGAACACATTTTTCTTCTACTGGCACATTTCAAATTAAACCTGCAAGACAAAAAAAATCACATTATAACAAATGTACAGAATATTTTTATAGTAGATTATTTTGTTACATAACTATGCAAATGACAGTAATAATTAATTCCATGTAAGGTAAGTCCTTAATTTCTATAGCTCTTCCTGTCTACTAGCCTTATAAAGCTTCAAAAATGTCCAGTACAGGCATTCTCTGGTGATAGGATTTTAAAGTTATAAACTGCTTGTGTGCATCTCAGTATACATACATTTATGGCATCTCAGACTATATATGAAACCATTTCTTATGTATAAATACATCACAATTCAATCATGTGCTCTTCATTTGTATATATGCAATAAAAATGCTTTTGAATTTGGAGACTTTTACTTGTATCTCAAAAACGCTGATACAACTCTTATGTTTGAGCAGTACAAAATCCATTTAAATCAAAAGTTGCTTTATACAAAATAAACCTATTCTGCTAAGGACATTTTTATCAATAAAATAGATTTGTCATAAAAGTTGGTTGTGTCTAATCAACACTAACTGTATTTGAAAAATCAAAAATGTGGGTAATACATGGAACAAGGCTTAGATAGTACTTGGATGAGAAAATACCAAGGATCCCAGACTGTAGACTATGCCAGAAGTTTTTTAAAAATCCCAAAAGACAATGATAACCCATCTACATACAGTCCATCACGTGTGAGTTGAGTGGTCATATAAACCTGCTTAATAAATATTGCTGCCAAAACACTATAGACATGTCCATATTACCAGAAGGCAAACTCAACTCAAGGTGAGCTTTTACTAGTACATATTTTCCAAAGGAAGAATGGCCATGCATCCTTCCATAGATTATTTTCCCAACTATTTATATGCACATCAAATAATCAAACTGAAACTATCAATAGTGTTATTGCCCAGCAGAAAAGTTCCTACTTGAGAATCCGAAAGGTTGCAGTTGCGAAAATCAGGACATTTGTTAATACTGAGGAAACTATGAAAAACTGAGTTCATGTGATATGAAGCATAAACCAGGCAACTACCTTTCATTTCTTGGGTTTTAGTTAGATGTGCATCCCAACAGCTTTCAACAGCTCCTCCTATTTTTCCTATAAGAATAATTCTTATAGAAGAAAATATTTGTAGAGACTGGAGTCCTTGGTGCTCCCTGAGATTGGCTGTTTGTTTGCAGATGTTTTATTACCCAACTAGATAACATCAGTGCTAATCAGTGTGAAGTTTGCTTCTTTGGATCTAATAGCATGTCCTGACAGTGTTGGTGGGGGTGTTGTTTTCTCCTTGCTGGTTTCTTGATTAGGGTATTGTTTTCTGCTTGAATGTTTATCCGGCACTGATTCCTGCTTATCTGGGTACTGGTGGGGATGTGTCTGTTGATGTCCAATTTGTCTGCAAGCCAAGCTTCCAGGAATACTCTAGCAGTTTTGGATTTGGTTTGTTCTAAGATGCCCAGTTTCCCAGTTGAAACTGTGGCTGAGCCTGTACCTGAGTTTAAGAAGTTTTCATGTGTCTTTTGACATAGAATTTACACACATTCAAAAGAGACAACACAGAAGAAAACAAAAAAGATCGGAACATGCCCATCAACCAGGCAAGGGCAAGCTACTTTATAAAGAAGGAACAAATCCCACACTGACTAGCATTGATGTTATGTATTTGGATAGTCTGCAAGCAAACAACCAAACTTCACAATAACTCTGTGAGTGACAGCCAAAAGTCACTTAATTTCTATGACAGAGTCCACTAGAATCTGGTCTTCCTGGTGTCGGTGCAACACTATACCAGACACGCTACCGTGAACCTATCAAATGCGAACTTTATGGCTCAGTAAGCGAACTAACTCAGGTTAATTGTTAATCCATGATAAATTGGATAACATAAATTTAACATAAATTGTTAATCCATGATAAACATCCAGGGGAAAGTCTGAAATGCGACCAAACCCACAGAGAATAATTGCCACAAGCACAGCACAGTATCGAAATAGACACCTAATTTATTAGTCTGCACAATTCCCGACTAACCTGCCGTGTCTAAGGTGCTCAGCCTGTGCCTTTAGTCCCTCCGACAAGTGAGGGAAGAGGCAGTGGAGGGAAAGCACTTTATCTACCCTTTCCTTTTCAGTAAAAGAATAACGCAAGCCCGACACTACTGTACAATCCTCCCTACTTCTTACAGGCGCTCTCCCTTCCCTTTACAACTAAGTCCCCTCCTTAGGACTGTCCCACCTCCGCCAGACTGAAAAACATACAGCATATAAAAAAAAGATCTGCTGTAATTTTTGTCTCCCGCTACCCGAGTAACCCCCGGAGAACTGAAAAGGGCAAAAGCGGTTTTTAAAGAAGATTCCAGGTGGCGTCACAAATCTTTGCAAGTTTCCCTTCGTTACAGGCCAATTCTTAGACAGCAATGCCGAGGACCAGATGCGACAGCTACGCCCTGCTGCATTTTAAAGTGATGGCGGAAGAAATTGCTCTAAGCAACGGGAGAGAAAAGGAAGAGCGGTGTGCGGTGGGCTGAGATAACTGCTGCATCTTTTAAGGGCTAGCAGGTTTTGCTACTTTGAGTTAACACACACGCAGAGAGAGAGAGAGAGAGAGAATGTTGGATAACGCTATTAAGACCAACCCAAAGGACACAAACTGCTAATGATATACGAGCTTTTTCAACATTACAGAATCTCTTCTGTGTCTGAAGAGTTCTGGAGTGCAAAAACCCGCGCGCTCTTTCACACCGTTGAGGTGATCCGCATTAAAGTAGGAGGAAACGGCTATCATTTGGGTTCCTAAAGGTTCGCGACTCGAGTCTCAAAGTTAAACTCCTCCGCCCAAAAGCGGAAGTGGTGTTCCTAACGTGAAAAGAGACGCTGCGTGCCTCCAACAACCTGCAAACGAATTTCTATAGCGTCATTTGCTCCTCCCAGCGGCGATTTTTGGTACGGGGTGGTGGTGGTTAATCTTCGGTTTCGGCGCCTCTTCACAAGGAGCTCCGCATCCCTAAACGGTTCCAGAAAGCAGAGCGAGAGATTTCAATCCGCGGGGGCGGCTGCAGCGGAAGCCGGGCTGAGCTACGGTAAGATCGGCGAGTCAACCGCGCCGAGAGTGGAACATGCTGCTTTTATCTGCCTTGAACAGCGCCTTCCTTCCAGTAGGCAACCGCCGGGTGTCCAGCGCGGATCTGGCTGGCTGGACAGCAGCTTCTCGCTGCGAGGCATCCTGTCCTACCCTCTCCTTTCTTGCGCCCCTTGGCCGCCAGCTCGCCCTCCCTCGTCACTACGGAAGAAGAGCAGGCCGGAGTTTTAATTAATAACCTGACCATAGGGCAGAAAAATTGCAACTTCCAGCAGTGCTGGATGAGACCCCCGCGGGAAGCCCTCTGCTTGCCGGCCTGGCCCCTTAACTTCCCGACGAACGCTGCTACGTGGAACGCTCCAGTAAACCGCCAAAAAGTCGCGCGGTGTTCCTCTTAGGTGCAGCGCTGCCTTATCCCGGGAATAGTTTTCTCAGAGGAAAACGAAATGGCTGGGATCTGTCCTTGCTGAGCTTTACAGCAGAAGCTGGGATGTCTTATGTTGCCAAAAAGTGTGGCATCCAGTTACAGCCTCCATCTATTGTCTTGATCTATGAAGATCAGGTTAAGAAGAATCTGCGCAAGCGCATCATGCCTGTCCGGAATTTTACCAAATTCTCAGGTACAATATGATATATTTCAAACTTATCACTGGTATTTTCTCATACACATATCGTGTTCTGTGCCCATTTTTTCTGCATTTTTTCATTGACTTCCCATATTTTGGTCACTTCATTTTATAAATTTGATTTTATTATCTATATAAGAGACATGTGTATTAAGACAGTAAGAATGTACATAGTATGACCCCATTTCTAAAACAAATTAGCCGTTTAAATTCGTAGAGCATTAGGACTGACCTAGCTTGATCTCAATACATCTGGGCCATTAATTCTAAAGGTTTGGGAACAATTTAGAAAGGTGCTTCATGGAACAACTACCTGAATTTGTTGCTCAAGACTTTGGCAAGTCTTTTCAAAGCCGCAGGGCTGTTGCTGTAACAACTTCCCATGGGCCTGTTCCCAATTTTGACATCTTTGCTTTACAAAACATTGAGTATTTACAAAACATTGAAATAATTCCAGAATTCCAGAATTTATGTTGTATCAATGTAGATCTTAAAGTATGCTGCCATGGCCATGTATTATATCCAGGGGTGGGATTCAATTTTTTTAACAACCAATTCTGTGGGCGTGGCTTAGTTGGTGGGTGTAGCTTGGTAATGTGACTGGCTGGGCATGGCCAACTCAACATCAAGGCACGGATCTCCTCGCCTGGCCTCTCATGACTGGGGATGCTGCAATAGTAGTAAGTGTAAAAAATGGTTATGTTACTTTTTTCAGTGCCATTGTAACTTTGAATGGTCACTCCACACAAGCAAAGTACCAGCAAAGGAGGGGAAAAAACTCCAAAGAAGTTCCAGAGTCAGGAAGTCTAGTCCTGCCAAGAATGTAATAAGGGTTAACGGAGAGGCAGTTTCTGTAAGCAACACCAGAATGTTTCCTTCCTGCCTTCCTTACAGGATTAGGCCAGTAATTTCTTCTAACAACAGGTTCTCCAAAATGCTTAGAATGTTAACAACCGGTTCTAGCGAATAGGTGCGAACCTGTAGAATCCCACCCCTGGTTATATCTTATAAACACAAATGTTGAGAGGGAAATAGGCTTCAAGTTTGTTTTATTTAAAACCTTTCTAATGCACATTTCCAAAATTACTTTAGAGATTTTTAGAAGTATAATCATTATTTTGACCTTTCATACAGATTGCAGCAGAGTGGCAGAGCAGCTGAAGAATAATCCTCGGCACAAAACATATTTAGAAGGGGTATCCTTGGAGCAGCTAAAAAAGTTACACCACTTGTTGAGATGCCATCTGCAAGGACAAACTTTGAGTCAGAGTTTGAAACAAGTTGAGCAGAATGAAACAGTTGATCCAGAAGAGGACCTAAATAAACTGAATGATGAAGAGCTAGCACAAAAGAAAAGAATTATGGATGAGTTGTTTGAAAAGAACAGAAAAAGAAAAGAGGACCCAGGTTTTATCTACAATGTAGAGGTGGAATTTCCACAAGATAAGGAGCTTGAAGCTTGTGAGTGGGATACAGATACAGAGGATGAATTTTAATGCAAAACTAAGCTTATGGGGATTTTCAGGGACTGTTAATAAATTATATATACTTTCTGCTTTAGTAACAATATTTGACTAAAGTTATCAATAAACGATAGCATTGTGTACTGTCAAAATGATTGACATGTTTTTCTTTCCTTGGCATTTAAAATACTCTGAAATATTCATATTAAAATTGTATGCAAAAATGTGTGTATAGAGTATGAATGTCTTGAGTAGAAAATATGTATTGGTTCTTGTATTGATACAGGAAATATCCATTAAATAAGCATTGACTTAAATAAAATTTATGCAGACAAAGGGGCCAGAATAGCAGCTGCCATTTTCTACATTGCAGAAGCACAAAATGGCACCAACTATATACATGTAAATTGGCATAGTGCATGATCTAATACAATATTCCGGAAATGGAGGTTTGTTTAACCCAGGAACTAAGCAAAATTGCTGAAAACAAAAGGAGATGCAGCACTAGAGAACCAACTACATGAAAGCACGTCTCCTGCAAGCATTCATATTCAAAATAGACATGTTTGCAGAAGGTGTGTGAATTGCATCAATGGGGTAAAACTTATTTGGCAAGATCTATTGTGAGAACTCCAGATTTAAAAAGGCTTCCTCAACCAGGAATTTTCTAAATAAAGGAAATGTCTAAAGTAAATATTCAGAAGAACTAAAATCAGTTTTTTTTATTAAAAAAATAGTTCATTCTTAAACCCAATTCTTCCACCTCCCGCATAAATTTCTGCATTTGAAATTCCATTTGTGACATAGATATTCAGTAAGTTTGGGGCAGATTCCAATTCTTCATCTACACCTTGAAGAAGAAGCAACCCATTTCAGGAAATATAGGATTCTTGAATTAGAATTTTCACTTCAAAAAAGGAGATCTCATTAAAGCATTATTGGACCCCAATAGCAACTTTTGAAGGATTGTTTTGGTATTTTAGAAGCAATTTCCATTACTAAAATTATATTCATGTCAGCTGGAAGGAAAAAACATTTTTAGTTGTTTGCCCTAGCAGTTCCCTATGTTGGCAGAAATGAAATGAGAACATCCACCAACTTCCTTCTGTCATGTGAATACTCAGGTTAGCTGCTAGATGGTCAAAGATATTCATTATGACACAGGAAACTAGTATATATGCATAAACTATTTTGTGGTGGGAAAGACAAGTGCTTTTCATTCTCAAATAATTTACATTGGGATTACAAATACTGTATTTAGATGGAAGAAACTAATTTTAAGTACCAAAAATTTGATCAATAGAATTCTCAGCCATCTTACATTAACAGTTTTTTTAATGACTTGTTATAACTGAACGGATCCTATTCAGGGGTGGGATTCAAAAATCCCAGCAACCAGTTTATTGCCCAGTTGCTGGGAGGGCATGACCATGGTGGGCGTGGCCTACCAGAACTTCTGGGAAGACCGTTTTGCATCTTCCCCAAGGTCCAGAGGCTTCACTCAAGCATCTAGGAGGGCGAAAATGGCCTCTCCCGAGGTCCATAGGCCCTCTGGAAGCCGGAAACAGTCATGTTTCCGGATTTCTGAAAGGCCCACTTTTCACCCTCCCAGAGTCTCCAGGCAGATCCTGCACTTACCTGCATCCAAAACGGGCTGCATGTAGACTCCAGGGAGGGGACAAGTAGGCAGGGCCAGCCGGTCGATTCAACTACCAGTTTGGTGAACCTGATGTAAATTTAACATCTGATTCTCCCGAACCAGTCCTAACCAGCTGAATTCCACCCCTGATCCTATTCAAGAGAAGAATTGGGATTTAAATATTATGTGCATATGTATTTAAATATATATCTTTGCAGGTTATTAATGTAGGTATTTAGCAAATGTCTTGTCAGTAATAATATGTATTCAAGATTTATTTATTTTTAATCCAGCATTTGTTCTCCAGAGGGCAGTATTTTCTCATTAAAAAATCTTGTTTGGGGAAAAATTTTGCACTTAAAAGAATTTCTGTTATTTATAAAAACGGTTTGCGATATAGAGTAATTTGGGAATAGGTTGTATTATTCTTAATATATTCTGATGTCTAAAAAAATAGAAATGAATAGTGACATTTTCTTGATCTGACAAAATATTTTTTCTAAGAAATATCAGCAATTCCTGATATTACAAAATATAATTTAGTTGATCAGCCCCTGTTTAATGCAAGAAACCTGGGTGATGAAGCATCTTTTACAAAATGGATCTCCGATAAAACATATGCTTTAATCTTCAACTGAAATTTATCTTAAATTTATTTTTTTCTGCAGATTTGACTGCATTTTCTCCCATTTGGAATAAAGCAAGATTTAACACTATCATTATTATTTTTATTATTATTATTATTATTATTATTATTATCTACATGAAGCACTGGACAATATGTATACTGGTTCCAAGTGAGGTGTTAGATATATGGTGATGGTAATCAGATATATAACTCCCTACAGTACCCTCTAGATGGTTCCTTCTCTGACAGCCTTCACTGAAGTAGTGAAGACAGCACTTTTTTTGCAGAACTTTTAATTCATTGTAAAGATTGTTGCTGGACAATGGGTATTTCAATCATTTTATTAATCATATTTGAGCTAGGTACGTCTGTAATTGATTCTGATGACTTTTTGTAAACTTGTAAACAGGAGACTTGGAATACAGCAATAATTAAAGTACATAGATTACTGGAAATACTTTTTAAAAAGTTGAAGAAAACTACAACTTTATTCAGGGAATTGTGGGGATTAATGGGATTTATGTCAAGTTGGTCCTGCTTTTAAGTGCTTAAAAGTTTAATTTTATAACAGTATTATCCTTGAAACACAAAGTCTATATGCAATCATATAAAATCATACTTTGTTTAATTATGTTTCATTGAATAAGCCACAACTGAATGCTTTGCACATAATTTGCGAACTACAGTGACTGAGTAAATTAAGCCAACATCCAAGCAAATCAATTTATGATTAACGCACAATTAAGTCCAGCTACAATATGTATTATATGTTTTTCTTCCTTAGTACTGGACTGTCATATATTCTAGAAATACAGTACATAAAACAATAGTAACACTATGGTAGAAAGCAGCTATAGCATTTAAGAAAGACCGAAGACAAAAGCCACTGAGAACAAAAACATTGTTGCGATCTGGAAACAGCCCTTTGAGGTTAGCCAAATGCAAAAAGGGCAAGTTTAGTTTGGTGAATGTTATCTCGGTACAAAACACTCTTGAACAGTTACCCTATTTCTCCAACAATACAGCCTCCCCCAATAGGAAGTCCCAGCATGTTTTATAGGCATGAAATGAAATTAAGCCCCTCCCCCCAAATTAAGGCTTATATTAAAACATGAGAAATGGGGGGGAATGGTGAGGGGGCTTGCCGTTAGGAAGTACTTTTGTTTCACACCCAGATATGGTGCTGCCTGCGTTGATCCCGATATGAAGTGCCCCACCAACGCCGAGGTCAACATCCAAGCCGTCGCTGCCCGCCCGAAGATGCAGGGGGGGGAATTAAGTCACCCCCAAAAAGACGGCCTAGCCATTTTTTCGGGGCTCACAAAAAAAAAAGACCCAGCCTTATTATATGAGAAACACGGTATGTACCAGTGTAGTCTGTTCTTAAAACTAAAGATCTGTGGCAAAAGACAAGGGATATAAAGTGTTAAGAGTGCTAGGCATTAATGCACAAGACTCAAATGATACAAATCAAATGTGATAATGCAAATAAACCCATCCCATCTCTGGAATAAGAAGGATTCATTCTCATTTTTGCCACAAATGGGCTGCGTAGAAAGTATGTGAACGCACACAACCTCGTAATAATGATTGTGGTGAATGCTATGTTTTTTGTACAGCTTTGTGAAGAATTTGAAATCTAAGTGGTATTCTGTTCCATTAAATACAGCTATTGTTTCTTGTGAAGTATCCTCTGCTCACTGCTGAAAATTGGCTATAAAGACTTCATGGAATATATTTAATTGAATTAATTGTACTGTAGCATACTTCTATAAGTACAGTTTCCAATAATAGTAATCTAAGACTTTAAAAAGCTAATTGGATTAGCAAAAGTATAATACTACATTATAGATATGTTTGCAGAAGTCGTATAATACTATCCAGCCATTCTTTACCCACCATCCTTGATTTTATAATATTCTTATTAGGTAAATACCTTTATAATTTCTGTAATATCCCACTCCTCAATTATCATATCACACCATTAGCTTTGATTCTTCTCCAATACTCAGAACTAAAGTTGATTTTATTCGAACCAAAAGCAACCAGTTAATCTTTCTTGTTCCTATATATGGCATAACAAATTAGCATATCTGTTTTACAAGAAAAAAACCCAGCATTATTCTTCTGAAGAAAAATCAATACTTTTCAGTTGCATTATTTCACAGTTACTAAGAAATGGGTAAAGTCAAGAAAAAAACCCAAATTGTTCTCTTCCTTATACTGGGATTTATTTCTTAGTAATGAGAAACATGACCCCAGATTTCAGAAATAAAAGATGAACTAAGATGCATCTACGCATCTTCCGGATATGTATTCATCAGAATAAGAGCTGAGGTTTACTCAGCATGTGGTTTTCCTGCAAGGAAATCTCTACCACAGGAAAGCCTCAAACATTCAACATAAATTCACATTTACTGAAAGCTTATTTGCTTTCCTCAGACAATGGCAGTTTAATATTTTGCCACAACATCAACTGCTGGCATTACAGCTCAATAGGAAAAGTCTCACAGAAAACATATACTGTAAATCTATCTGTTCTTCATTTGATAATCTTCATAAGGCAAACTTTGCACTTCTTTGAAAATTGTTGTTTTGTCAGTAAGAATTCAGGTCACCCAAATGAACCCATTTGGCTATATAGATGACAGTATTTTTCAGCTGGGACAAACTTTACTATAAGCAGTTCAGTCATATTTTTCTTGACTACCCTGTAGTTCAGTTGCTGCATCATATTTATTTATTTTATGTAACCCCCTAAATCACGCACATGAATCTAGGCAGCTGACAATAAAATAGATAAAACACATAATATAAAAATTAAAAACACAGCAACCAAGCAATACAAATGATCATCAACAGGTGCAGAGGTGTTCCAGTGCACCTCCTGCAAGTTGCACTCTCCCAGTCACTTCAGCAGCTGTCGTGCGGCACTCTGCTGTGCCGCACAAAGCAGCTGTGCTTCAAAATCAGAGGATAAAGGTGAGTATGGGAGCCTGGATGGGTGGGTGGGCCCAACAGCAGTGAGGCAGAGAGAACTGGCTTGGTCTTCACTGCTCATTGCCGCTACCGGCTCGGCAGAACCAGGCAGAACCAGTAGAATACCACCACTGATGTAAACCATTAGTACAAGTTACAGCTTATTAGAACAAAATATGTGACTGCAAATGTAACTTTCTAAGCATATTATTGAGTACTATTAGATTAGATTGTTTCTTTCTGCCACCAAATTTCAGTATGGGCTGTGTTTCTTATGCTTGCTCTTTAGCATCGGAAGAATTTTTTCCCTGTAAATTAAAAAGATGATGATAAAAGTAAACAGCAGGGTCAAACAGGTAGGAAGAATAAGCACCAGATACAACAAAGCCATGTTAATTGTTAGCCACCTACAGTCTTGATGAACTGATTCAGGTATATTTGTTGCACTGATGAATCTGGAGGAGTAATTACAAG